GCTTTCCTCCCAAGAAGCAGGTGTCTTTTAATTTCGTCGCTGCTGTCACCATCTGCAGTGATAACCAGCAGATGGTGGTTACAGGCCATAACCAGCATAAATCAGTCCATGCAAACACTATATGAATTCTAGGTTGCAGGCTGACAATGTTTAGGGGGAAAAATCAGCTCTGGTGCAACTTTATTTTATTCATTTAAAACAAGCCTACCTGAATATCTTAGTTCCTTTAATACATGTGCCACCAATTTAGGAAACATACTTATTATTGAACTGCTCTTAAACTAGTCATCTGCTGAGGCTCATTTTTGCCCTATCAAAACAATGGAAACAAATGTTAGCAGCACACATTTTAATCCGCACCATTTGATTCTATTTGCTTGATCTCCATCCAATCAGCTAGCCACCCTCCACTTATCAAGTCAGAATTTTAAAACTGGAAAAGCAAGACGCACCCACACCCAAAGAGTGGGTGGTTTCTAGAATAAATATAGCAAAAAGTACTCCATCTCTTTTCTGCCCTCGTAGAGAATGGAATAGCTTCCAAACACAACCCAGCCTTGCTGGTAGAATGAAGAAGGATTGTGCTCTTTCCTTGGGCAAATATTTATTTTCTCTGCAATAGAAAAGCACCACAAAAAAGAAAAACTTTGAAATATATTTACTTGTTAAAATACACAAACTTTCATTAATACCAAGGCACGCCCATGGGCTTATCTTTCTTTTTCAGCAGCAAGCAACTCTGTTATTTTAAAGTACCTTAGAGAGAGATCAATTCAAGCAAGAGCAGAGGTCATAATTTCATCAGCTACATTACTAATGAAGTAGAGGCATACTTGATGCTGTGACATAAGGTCATGTGCTTAAGTGCACTTTAGTCAACCACACCAGTGTGTGAATTGCTTTCAAGATAAGAGAAGGCATAAATCTCCCTCAGAAAGTTGAAGTATACCTCAATCTGGGCAGAAAGTCCATACTTGAAAATCATGGCATTTGATGGTACCTGGAAGGTGGAGAAGAATGAAAATTATGAGAAGTTCATGGAAGTAATGGGTAAGTTTTGCATTTATATTATAATCTTAGAACTGTGGAGCTGGAAGGACCCTATGGATCATCAAGTGGGAATCAAACTCTTAACCCAGCCAGATACCTTAACCAGTGAGCTATCTAGCAGTTCATTTCTTGGCTTTCTCCAGGAACATCCTTTATTCAAAACCTTGTTACTTGATGCAGGTTGTTTGCTTCTTTGTTTTGAAACACTACATAGTCCTAGAAGCTTGACAGAAACTTTACCTGCTTGTGGCCACGACCTACATAATCTTGGGGTCTGTAGTTAAGTGAAGTAATTCTCTACTTTCATGCAAGGGAAAGCCCTAGAATTCCTTAGCTGGGAACCCTTACATTCCGTGCCAACTTTCAAATCCCAGAGGATGGAATCTTGGCAATTAAAGTAGTACCAAATGTCAATACTGTAACTGTGTAGTATAGACAAACTCTATGATAGTTACATAGACAAACTCTATGCCCTTCTTGTCATGATGTTAGTTCCTCATATTCTGTTGCACTTTCCTCTAACTACTACCATTTAATCTCAAATTTTCTCTGTTTTGTTCTCCAAATGAACAAAATTTCCATGGTTTCCATTTCCAGAATTTCCTCAGAATTCCCATGACAGTGAATTTAGGTTTCTCCCATTTTCTTCTTCTATGATGGCCTCTGCTAGAGTTACTTCTGTGTTAACAAGCTTCTTCCGCAATGCTGTGGACATGATTTGCACAGGATTGAGCTACTGTGACCTTCTAGATGATTTGGAACAGCAATTCTCATAATGCCTCAGCATTGGTTATAGTAACTAGAGCTGATGGAAGTTATAGGCCAAAAACCTCTGGAGGGCTACAGTTTCCCACACCAGATATTAAGAGTTGAATTTTTTGTCTCCACATATTTAAAAAGGACTGGAGTTGGATCCAAACATAACAAAGTTTACAGTAGTCTCAGTGAAATCAATGGGACAAGTTGATCTTGACTAATTTGATTTTCTCATCTCAACGTGACTTAAGCTTGGCCCAATGATATAAAGCTATAAAGACCTTTTCATATCCAGCTGTATAGGCTTATAATGAAAAGCAAGCAAGCAAACAAAAACACCTATCTTTATTCTTTTCACATTTATCCTCTCCTTCCATTAAGGAACACAGGGTGATATGCATGATTCAACCCCATACTCCATGCATTCCCTTTGTCATACCCCCAACCATCCAGTGAAGAGAAGTCTGAAGCTGTTAGTCCAGTTACTGTGTGAGCTTCACAAAAATGTGAGTCTGTATCTACCAACAGTTAGCCTGACACTTTCTCTAGCCACTGTGCACCTTATTTTCTCTTGCATGCTAGTGTTACATCAAGCCTTACACGTATGACTTTCTGTTCCCACATGCATACTTTCTTAAGATTTTATTCAGATATTTGATATCTTGCTGAGTACAATATGAAAATTTACATATCCACTCTGCAGTGCTGCTGTTCGCAAAATTCTTGGGTCATGAATTTTTCTTCTTTCCTCTGTATTTTAGACTAGATTTTCATCTTGCTGTCACAGGTCTATCAGTTGTCAGTAAATTTCCTCACCCGACTCCAAAACTGACTTCCTTCCCCGATCCACAGAGCCATTCCATGCAAAACTAAAATATTATCCCAAGCCCTGTTGTTATTGCACCCTTCTAACTTTTCAGAAGAATGTATACTATCTGTATTAAGACATTTGTGCAATAGGTTTAGGCAGATGAATCCTTTTCCTTTGAGGAAAACAAGATGAAAGGACCACATTCTATTCACTAGAGCAGAGGTGGGCAACAATGGACCCCTTTCAGGATGTTTTTGGTTTCAGCACACCTAATTCCTCACCATTGGCTATGCTGGGCAGGGCTGATGGATACTGTAGTCCAAAAACCTCTGGAGGGTCACTGCCATGTTCCCACCTGTCCCTTGGTTGTTTCGCCTATCAAAGGGCACAAGCTATGTGTCTTGTCGCAGCGACTAGTTGATTAACATTATGTAATGTATTATTAATAATAGAGATCCAGGCAATGTGTCATTTTAAATAGAACCAAATAGAAATTGTTTATTATTGCATGTGATGAAAGAACAATCTATGTCATTCACTCTCAACAAAACATCCTACTCCATCCACTTTTAACCGCCCACTCTCTCTCTCTTTCTGTCTCTCTCCCTCCAAATTCCAAAACCTCCCTTCTCCTCTCCCCCTCTTGCAGAGACTGTTATATCTGGTGACTCCACCTCTCCAACACTTTCATTGGTACATGCAAATAGGTTATTAATATTCATGAACTGGGTGGCCACCACAGTCACTAACATGCCCAACCCTACATAAGAGGTATGGGAAATTATCCAACCAAAAGTACAATGAAGATTACAGAGAGGAAAAAAGAAATGCCACACAATAAAGATAGGGTCATAACAACATCAATATCCTTACCTTCATTCTGTTGGAAAGTACACATCATATACTGTGTACTATATAATTAGCTTCATGCCTCTGTAACAAGCCAACACCAGCATATTCATATATCCAAATAAATTGCATGAGTTCACACCAAATAAACAAAGTTGAAAACTTGCAGAAGATCAAAAGCAAGGAAGGATAATGGTCATCCGAGACAACTCTTGTTCTTCAGTAGACTCTAAAATATGTTTAAAGCAGTGGTTCCCAATCATTGATCCCCAGATGTTCCTGGACTAAAACTCCCAGAAGTCTTCACCGTTAGCTGTGCTGGCCAGGATTTCTAGGAGTTGCAATCCAAGAATATCTGGGGACCCAAGGTTGGGAACCACTGCTCCAAAGAACACATTTTTTGGGGGAAACAATCCTTCTTCTGGATAGATTACTTACCAATCTTCTTGCCTCCTTAGGTGTCGGTTTGGTGAAGAGAAAGCTAGGGGGCCATGACAACCTGAAGATCACAATCCACCAAGAAGGAAACAAGTTCACAGTCAAAGAATCCAGCAATTTTCGCTCCATAGAAATTGTTTTCATTCTAGGAGAAAATTTTGACTACAGCTTGGCTGATGGAACAGAACTCAATGTAAGAGAACTGCTCTTCTATTACCTTTTGCTCTTGCTTGATGAGGTTGCTGAGACGAATTCTTGCGGACTGGGATATCTTCTAAGATAAATTAAGCACAACCATTAAAAAAATGTCTGTATTTTTGTCTTTATCTTGTAGGGTAATTGGAATTTGGAAGGAAATAAGATGGTAGGCAGTTTCACCCGGAAAGATAATGGGAAGGAACTTAAGGCGCTGAGAGAAATTGTAGGAGATGAATTGGTCCAGGTAGGTTCATCAGTGATAATTATGGCTCCTTTCATTATTGCTGCATTTCATTATGTTACCAGCATGAATTTGACCCGACTCCAGGAGGCAGTGGAAGACAGGAGGGCCTGGCGTGCTCTGGTCCATGGGGTCACGAAGAGTTGGACATGACTAAATGACTAAACAACAACAACGTTATGTTATATTTCATTACATTGTATTAGTCATTTATTTATTATAGTACAGTACTTAATTTATTTTTCATTAAAAATTCTGTTCATCTGTTGACAAGGATCAAAGGACATATTCTTAACCCCTGATCCTTATGAAAAAAGAAAAACAGCTGTTTCCCTTGATCTGTTTTTACCTCTGTCTTGTGCATGAACGGTGCCATTTTGGCTCTAAGTGAAACTAAGAATCCAAACTTGGAAAATGAATTTGTTTTGGTATATACAAGCATCCTCCAGCCTAACTCCATTTAGATATGGGAACAATTTTAGCCTATTTATATCACCATAGAAAGATCCACCTCTCACTAAATTTGGATTGAAACAATCCCTGAGAAATGCAATATTGGAAATCCTTCTAAAGCTCAGTGACATTCTCACATTGTTATTTATTAATTTCAGACTTATATCTACGAAGGAGTTACTGCTAAGAGGATCTTCAAGAAAGCATGAACAGTCCAGAACTATTATCAGATGGAAGATTAACATATCTTGTTTTTATGAACTGTACTTCCATACCAAGGATAAAGCAACTCAAATCAGAGCTTGGAAGCATTATGTTTTTAGACTACAATTCCCAGCCAGCACAGTCCAGAAAAGTAGTATTTCCAACTTCTGACTCAGATATCCTTGTCAATGTTCCGTAACTAAAATGCAGTTAAGATTTATTTATCTTGCATCCCTACATTAAGATTACAATGTTGCCAAAGCTGCAGGGAAAAAATAAACATTGTTTTTGCTCTGTTTTTCAGGAAACACATTTGTCTTTCATAAGCATACTGTGGAAGTGCTGAATAAAATACATTGCAATGAAAATCTTACGAGAATTTATTAGCTTGATTCACAGGTTATGGAAATAAGGTTAAACTAATTTAAAAACTAAGGGTATTATCTAATCCAAAGGTAAATACATTTAGATACATTTAAGCCAATTTGAGAGTAAAATATGCTCTCAATACTCCATTTGAAGGCAATGAGATTTAAAGGTGCTTCATTTTGATTGTGTCATGGCTGCTATTATTCTCCTCAAAAAAAAAAATTCTTACACATTTGAATCTTAACTCAATTTATTATGCTTCCACCCTGGCTTTGCCATCTTTCTAGAGCAGTGCTCAAGGAAACATACCTGCATTATAAAAGAGAATAAAACAATTGATAAAAACAGATGTGACCATGAAAACATTGAAATCATCTTCATCTAAAAACAGTTTACCCAGGCAGTTTACCCAGCCTTTCCTCCATATTATTTTACCCAGGCTTTGTGCTCTGCATCAAAACAACACGGGAGGTAGCAGTTACCACTTATAAGTCTTTGCTCGATTGGCATAGAGCATGATGTCGGGGGCTACTTCCAGTGGGAGAGGTCATTGCACTTCACTAGGTAGCTCCCATCTGCCTTAAGCTGGCCAGCCACCAGCCAGTAAGGTGCTGACTTGCCACCATCTGTTAACCTCATGGGGTGCATGGCGTTTAGGGTGAAAGTCAACAAGCAGATTGATAACCCTGCACCATGCAACAATCATAAGAAAATTTCTGCCCTAAAGTTGGGCACCTGGAATGTTCAGACAATGACCCCTGGCTTTTCTGACAACCTGCAGGAAATAGATGATGTGCGCAAAACAGCTGTCATTTACAAGGAACTGAGTAGGTTGCAGATGGAAATTGTTGCCCTGCAAGAGACAAGACTGCCAGACTCAGGATCTATTAAAGAAAAAAAATCTCATTCTTCTGGCATGGAAGACCATTGAACGAGACCAGGGAATATGGCGTTGGCTTTGCAGTTAGAAATACTTAGCTGAGATCCATTGTTCCACCTACTGTGAGGAGTGAAAGAATCTTGTATCTGCAGCTCCATTCATCACCTTATTAGTGCATATGCATCTACACTGTCATCTACAGCTGAAGTCAAAGACAAATTCTACGATGGTCTGGCAGCTACTATCAAAAAATCCCTGAGAGAGAGCTGCTGTTCATCTTTGGAGACTTTATCGCTAGAGCTGGTGCTGATCACAATTCTTGGCCCACTTGTCTAGGCCATTTTGGCATTGGGAAGATGAACTAAAATGGCCAACGCTTGCTGGAGTTTTGCTGTTACTGTGGTCATTGTGCCAGCAACACGTTCTTTAATACGAAGCTTCGACACAGAGTCTCTTGAAGACATTCAAATTTGAAGCATTGGCATCAGCTTGATTTGATCCTCTCTGGACACTCTAGCCTTCCTAGAATTACGATCACACACAGTTATCAAGGTGCTGATTGTGATACTGATCACTCTCTGGTGAGTAAAACTGCGAATAAAGATATTGTATCACACGAAAAAGAAGGAAGACCACATCTTGTTGATGTATTGACATCAACAAGACTTGTGATCAGAGAAAAGTGGAGGAATATGCCCAAGTGCTTGAGGAAACTCTTCCAGGCCCGGCTGTTGCAAATACACCTGAATGCGGGAACATTTCAAGAATGCTGTTTATAACACCGCAAGAAGACCAAAAAGAACACCACACTTGGCAAGAAGACCAAAAAGACAGCAGACGGCAGATTTGGAGGAGTTGATGCCAGCCATCAAGGAAGAGAGGAGAGCTCCATCAGCATACCTCAAGGAAAAGAGGAGAGCTCTAGAAGCATAAAAAGCTTGTCCTAGTGAGTACAAGTTGCAGCTTCTTCGAGTTGCTCATAGCAAAGTCCAACAGACTGCCAGGATATGTTCTAATGATTACTGGCTTCAGCTCTGCTCTCAGATACAGATACCAGCGGACACAGGTAACATCAAAGGAATGTATGATGGTATCAAGCAGACCTTAGGTCCAATGCAGAAGAAATCTGCTCCCTTGCAGTCTGGTACAGGTGTGATCATCCAGGACTGAGCACAGCTGGAATGCTGGGTGCAGCACTACTCTGAGCTATATTCCAGAGAGAATGTAGTAACCGAAGAGGCATTAAATAACATTGAGTGCCTGCCTGTCTTGGAAGAGTTAGACAGCGAACCAACTTTAGCAGAAATAAAAGCGGCCTTGGATTCCCTCACCTCTGGCAAGGCACCTGGGAAGGATAACATCCCTGTTGAAGTGCTGTAAAGAGGCCATCACCACTGAGCTGTATGAAATCTTTTGTCTTTGCTGGAGGGAAGGTGCAGTACCACAGGACATGAAGGATGCAAACATTATCACATAGTATAAGAACAAAGGAGAGAGAGGCAACTGTAATAACTACTGTGACATCTCTCTTCTCAGTGTTGTAGGGAGCTGCTTGTCCATGTGCTGAAGAGGCTCCTGGTGCTTGCAGAGTCTATCCAGAATCACAGTGTGGATTTCAAGCTAATAGATCCATCACTGACATAGTATTTTCCCTCAGTTGCAGGAGAAATGTAGGAAACAATGACAGCCACTCTTTGTGGCCTTCATAGATCAAAGGCCTTTGATTTGGTTATCAGGAATGGCCTTTTTAAAATATTTCCCAAGGTTGAATGTCCACCTCAACTCCTTAACATCATCAGGTTCTTTTTTATGAGAAAATGAAGAGCACTGTAGTTTTTGATGGCGCAACATCAGATCCCTTTGACGTCCAAAATGGAGTAAAATAGGGCTGTGTCCTCGTGTGGACTCTGCTTGGGAACTTTTTTGCTGTCATGCTGAAGCACGCTTTTGGAACTGCAACAAAATGTATCTATCTCTGGACTAGATCAGATGGAAAGCTCTTTTATCTCTCTAGATTGAGAGTGGAGATCAAAGTCTAGCTGAAATGCAGGTGGGACTTCCTCTTCGCCGATGATGCAGCTGTTGTTGCCCATTCTGCTGAAGATTTCCAACAACTTATGAATTGTTTTAGTAAGGCCTGCCAAGATTTTGGACTAAAAATCAGCCTGAAGAAAACACAAGTCATGAGCCACGGCGTGGACTCACCTACCTCTATTACCATCTCTACATGAGAACTGGAGGTTGTTCATGATTTTGTGTACCTTGCTTTAACGATTTCTGACACCCTCTCTCTAGATGTTGAGCTGGATACACAAGAATTGGAGGTTGTTCATGACTTTGTGTACCTTGGCTCAACGATTTCTGACACCCTCTCTCTAGATGTTGAGCTGGATAAACACATTGGCAAAGAAGCTACCATGTTCTCTAAACACACAAAGAGAGTACGGCTTAATAAGAAGCAGACAGCATATACCAAGATCCAGGCCTATAGAGCCTATGTTCTGAGTACAGTTGTGCCCCGCTGGATGATTACCCTGCTTTACGATGAATCCGCTTTACGTTGATGATGTTTTAAATGCGGTGTGGTTTTTTTTACTGTGCAATGATTGGTTCCCTGCTGTCAAGGAGGCCCAGTGGGAGAATCAAACTCCCAACCTCTGGCTCCACAGCCAGAGACCTAAACCGCAGAGTTATCCTGTAGTTATCCCTACACCAAACAGTTGTGTAGCATGTATATGTGTCCATGTTTGTGTGGAAGATATTGGGACATAGATCCTTGTGAACAAGAACCTGTAGCAAGGTGAGAATTTTCACATTAATGAAAACAATCTGCCCCACAAGTAATGCAATCTGAAGACAATACTGTAATGGTCACTCCTATTTTATCCCATGAACTAAAGTCATGGAATAATAGAACCAGAGACCATGCTATGCATAGTGTTCACTAGAGAAATATATTTCCATGATGTCATTATCAGAACTGGACACAAGTGGGAGCCAGAGACCATGCAATGTATAGCATCTGCTAATAGGATTCTCCATAATCCATTTTGAGAATGGCTGATGGTCGGATTCCAAAAAGATCTCCTGTATGGAGAATTACTGCAGGGAAATTGCCCCAGAGGGAGACCACAGCTGCGATACAAGAATATCTGCAAGCGAATCTGAAGGCCTTAGGAAAGGACCTCAACAGATGGGAAACCTTGACATTTGAGCGTTCAGCCGGGAGGCAGGCGGTGCAGCATGGCATCTCCCAATTTGAAGAGACACTTGTCCAACAGGCCGAGGCAAAGAGGCAATTATGAAAGCAGCAAAATCAGGGAGCTGGACAAGGGACAGATGGTATTTTTCTTCAGTGTGGAAGGGATTGTCACTCTCATATTGGCCTTCTCAGCCATACTAAATGCTGTTCCAAGACCTCTATTCATAGCACATTACCATAGTCTCTCAAGACTGAAGGATGCCTACACACAAAAGCAGTTTAAATCCTCACAATAAATATTAAACTGTTTTAAAAGCTGGCTTTAAAAGCTGCGTCTTCACATTCTTTCTAGATCGCAGAAGAATGGGAATTGCTCTCAGCAATGCAAGGGATGCATTTCCCAGGTTTAAAGACAACACCTTGAATTTGGCCAGTAAGCATTTGGCAATCAACACTGGCGTTTCAATCCTGAGGTAATATGATTTAAATACTGTACATGAGTTAGCAGCTTAATTAGTACATATTGTCTATACTGAAGATCCCAGACCCTCTTCAAAGGTGGCCCCACATAATGCTGTCAAGACACCATGTAACTAAAGGTACTAAAGGTGTCAGTCCAATTGCATTGGAAAGAGTCACTTTGCACAGAGTACTCTTCCTTAAATCAACCCTTCCATCTGTTGGGGAATTGCTCCATACCAGCTCCAAAAAAAAAAAAAGCCCTGCAGCGGGACCAAAACATGCAGCTTGGGCACAGATCAGGGTCTGGCTGGAGTGCAATTCCATGTACATAATGTGTTTGCCAGGAAACTGATCACACCAGAGTTGCCCATAAGTGGTCCAAAATGTGCTTTGTTTCCTCATGTGATCATGCCATAAGGCAGTGGTTCCATCCATACCAGCTCCAAAAAAAAAAAAAGCCCTGCAGCGGGACCAAAACATGCAGCTTGGGCACAGATCAGGGTCTGGCTGGAGTGCAATTCCATGTACATAATGTGTTTGCCAGGAAACTGATCACACCAGAGTTGCCCATAAGTGGTCCAAAATGTGCTTTGTTTCCTCATGTGATCATGCCATAAGGCAGTGGTTCCAAACCTTGGGATAAGTGGTCCAAAATGTGCTTTGTTTCCTTATGTGATCACGCCATAAGGCAGTGGTTCCAAACCTTGGGAAAACCAGGTGTTCTTGGACTGCAACTCACAGAAACCTTCACCACTAGCTGTCATGGCTTGGGATTCTGGGAGATGCAGTCCAAGAACACTTGGGTTACCAAGGTTTAGGAACCACTGCCGTAAGGAATGGAGTACTGTTCTCAAGCCAAGTAATATAGACTCAGGAAAGGGTTCTTTGTTGTTGTTGGTTTTTTTTTTTGTTTTGGTCTAATCTGCTGTTTGGGATAGCACAGAGCCAAGGATTATTTTCAGACGATGAATTTTCCGACCCCTTTCTGCACAGGTTGTATCTCAATGCCTCAGCCTGACTTTTTGCTGATTTCCAGTCTTGCCAGGATTCAGTTTCAGCTTGTTCATCATCATCCAGCCCACTACCAGGCAGTGCTCACAGATGTCAAATGCTTCCTAGATGTTGGGTGACAAGAAGCAATCGTCATCAGCATTGGTAGCACCTCACTCTGCAGCTTTTAATGACCTCTCTCTGAGACTTCCTACAGTTGTTGAATCAAGATGGGCCTGAACCTGAAAACTGATGGTTCGTGATGGTTTGTGGTTACCCATGACCCACCATGAATCAACTGGAAAACCAAATTTTTTCATGGTTCAGTTTTTGGTTCATGCCAAAGTGGGTGGGTGGCCCATCTGCTCCTGTCATGCCACCATGGTGCCACTGCTGCCTTTCTGTGCAAATGTGGTGATGGGTCACAGGTTATTTGACTATGGGGGTTGCGATTGGGAAACATTGCCCTAAGAAGACCAAAGAAGTCTCTTCCCAATTTTGTGTCCAGAAGCCTGACTGAAATGGCTCCTGATCATCATGACTGCATGCTCATTTACAATTATTTTCAGTTCATCTGTGTCTTTGAATGTAAATATTATAACACCAATATAAAAAATACAGCTGTTACAGTCACCAACCTTTCCAAATGGCGACACATTACAGGAATAAAGTACTTCCTTTTGGAGTGGTTTCTTCTGAGAAAAGATTACTGGGGGGTTATTGATGTTTCATAAATACTGGATTTATTTGCAAGTACTGTACTGTAGCAAACATCAGTCTTAATACACTGCCCCTTCAGATGCAGACAGGGTGCCTTTTTAAAATCCCCCTATCAAAAATCACATTGAAGATTAAGTAAAATTGTGATTTCCCCCCCTTGAAGAATCCTATGAACATCTTTCACTTTTGCAGGAAGGAGATGCCAGGTTTGGCAATCCAAGAGTCTTTCTCCTTCTCAGTTAGAACAATGAAAAGTCTTGTGGCACTTTTAAAACTAATGGATTTATGAACATGAGGAAGAGCCACAAAGGAGACCAACGGAAGTATGCCTGGTTGATGAGGGAGGAGCCGAAATGGACCTGATCATGTGGGAGGAGGTGAAAGGGGACGGATCAAATGCGCGGGAGTTTAGTTGGCTGGGGGAAGGCGAACTGGGCAGATGCATTAATAGGGGGGTGCAGACTGACTGGCTGGCAGACATGAGGAGTCAGGTGTGGCACTTTTAAAACTAATGGATTTATTATGCCACAAATTTCCTTGAATTGCACAAGGCAACAGAAGAAGGAGACTCTGCCAATAGGGATATCATATGCTTGGACCCAAGTGAGCATCTCCATTCCTCCATCTGTTCTCTGCCTATGACAGTCTCACATGATTCAACGTAAATGACAGGTTAGAAAAGATGACAAAATTGCTAGTTATTTAAAACTAATGGATTTATTATGCCACAAATTTCCTTGAATTGCACAAGGCAACAGAAGAAGGAGACTCTGCCAATAGGGATATCATATGCTTGGACCCAAGTGAGCATCTCCATTCCTCCATCTGTTCTCTGCCTATGACAGTCTCACATGATTCAACGTAAATGACAGGTTAGAAAAGATGACAAAATTGCTAGTTAGAATTCTGTTTAAAATACACCCCATGACATTTAATTTAAACTTAAATGTACGTACACAAGATAAACCTTCACACAGCAGTAAACAATCACCTTTAGCATTAATCAGTAGATTCCCAATTACACCGGGATAAGAAATTCTGTTCAGATTGACTTAACAGAACTGAAACTTCTGAAAAATAACATGTAATCCAACAGTTTTACAGTGGACCTTCTCTGGAAAGCAGGGCTAGCCCAATTATTATACAGAGCAGAAGTGCTGCACATGTGGGCATCTAGAAATTTCTGGATTGTGGTGCGGAGTGCGCCCCTAAGACCGTTAACGGACCGCGAACGATTCGGCCCGGCCCGCTGGTAGGAGAAGAGATGAGCCCACCTGTTGTAAAGGCATTCCCATGCTGATTCATCATTGCCTGTCACACTAGGGGGAATTGAAGCAGAGCACCTGGTGGGTCACCCATTTCCTACCTTGATGTACAGTGAGTGCTCTATGATCTTGCAGATATTTCCATGTGTTATTCAGTTTCAGGATGTATAACAAAAAAAAGGTGAAACCAAACATTTTGTGGTAATTTTAAGACTACCAGATTTATTTCAATGTGACTTTGTGAATCACAGGTAACTCCTTCTGACACACTGTTCTTCACTGTTGCACATTCAGAGTTGTAGCTGCATTAGTCAGTCAGCAAAACAAAACAACCAGCAGCTGACATCTTTTGAGAACAACACATTTAGTTCAGTGCAAGCTTTGAGGATTACAATCTACTTCTTAATGGACCATAAAATAGCCAAAGAAGTGGACCGTAACCAAAGAGAGCTCTCACTGAAATAAATATGCTAACTTTAAATGGTACTATAATCCTTTAGTTTCTGTTATACTTCCATACTTGTTAGACTCCATTTCTCAGTAACCCCAAACACATGGCCCATGATCATGAATGATGGGAGTTATAGTCCAGCAGCATCCAAATATTAAACTAGAAGAGACTAAGTTAAACTGATGGAGAACGAAGGCAACACACCTTGCTGAATGGATGAATGCTGAAGAGTGTCTCCTTCCAGGACAAGACTCTAGCTGGACCATCTGGAAGTCACTTAATAGACTTCGAAGCAAAGTAGGAAGACCAAAGTCTAACCAAGGAAATTGGGGTTACTTGGATAGGGGACAAATTTCTGTTAACTGTGGAGGAATTCAATCCATGAAGCACTTACGTGCGTGCAAGTTATGCCCAACCACATGTACAAAAGAGGATCAAGCAAATAGGTAAGATAGTGCTATTGAAGATGCCCACTTCTGGTAAAAAATAGTATAATTATCTTAACATTTTAATCTGTTTTTAATCTTACCTACATTTCATATACATCCATGATTTTAAATAGTGCAGTGCTCTGATATGTAAAAAGAAAGAATCTGGAGACTGACATGTTCCTCTCATGCTGATACTGTACATATTCTGGTGAGCAGTTCAACCCTCAGACTGTTGTATTTGATGTGGGAGAAGAGAGGGTGGTGGAAATTACCAGTCATTTATTTTATTTGTTTTCAAAATACCTAGTTTACATCCCCAGGTTCTGTTTCATGCAGTTACACACAGGAAGCCGAGGCAGTGAGACGAAAAAGAATAAACTACATATAGTCTACAATCATTTTGGGCCTAATTAGGCCTATTTCCCACTCTTGTTAGTCTTCTTTACTACCACGGCAAAAGTGCACACTTTGGTTTTTCCACCGACACCATCGTGCTTGCAAGAAGAAGCGTGGCACTTCTGACTATTTAATTCAACGAAATCTTTCCAATTTTGTCCCGGAAGTTGTAGCCCACGTGTCACTCTACAACCGGGTAATTTGGCTTCCTGTTTTCTATCTCTATGGGTGTCACCGGCACGGACGTGCGCTCGGCCTCGCACTCCTTCTTTGCGCAGGCGCACAGAGAGTTGCTCTCTTTCCTGGGCGGCGAAGGGAGCGAGGATGGAGGCGAAGGCGGAGGGGGACCCGGGGCGAGAGCGCCGAAGGTGGGAGCCGGCCGCGGATCGGAGCGTGGCCCCAACGGCCGGGGAAGGAGGGGAAGTGGCGTGCGGGCCCCCGCTCTCCGGGACCTCCTACTGGCTGGACTTCTGGTTCATGATCCTCCTCGACCTGGCGCTCTTCATCTTCGTCTACTTGCTGCCGTGAAGCCGGACGCCGCCCCTGGGGGGGTGAGTGAGTTTTTGGGGGGATCGGGGCCGTGGAGTGGGATTAGGCAGGAGGAGCAGCAGCGGGAAGGAAGGAACCGAGATCCCCCTCAGGCTTAAGTGACCTGCCTCTGAGTAATCGACAAAGGCCAAAGAAGGCGCGCCTTGCTCCGTTTTTTTTTTAAAGCCCAAGATTCGTGGAGTGGTTTTTTCCTTGTGACCCACACAAAATGTCACAAACTCACGCTTTTGAGCACTTCACAACTTTTTCCTCAGGCGGCAGGAAACGCTTGTGTGTTTGCGTAAGTGTTAGGGGCCATCCTGTCGGAGCCGACTTACAGCGACCTTTCGAAAAGGAAGAGGGGGTCCTGATCGCGTTGCAGATACCCGTTTGGCTACTGGAGAGCACCAGATAATTCCAGGAGAAGATCCGCCTATGCTTTATAGAAGTTACAACGAGGCCCTCTCATGTGGATCATGAACTGGGTGTGCCTCAGCACTTGATCGCCCTGAAGCCAAATGTGTACAGTATTGTGGACAAGAAGCTACCATGAGGACAGAGTCTGGAGAAACAGAATGGTTTCTGACAAAGGTGTCAGACAAGGGCGCATTTTATCACCTATCTGTACAGAGAAGGTATCATATGGAAAGCTGGAGTAGATTCGGGTGCAAAAGTGAAAGCTGATGGAAGAAACATCAGTGATTTAAGATACGCAGATGACCTACCTGATCTTACTGTCGGTGCAAGCAGTGACTTGAAACAACTGTTATAGAAAGTGAAAGAAGAAAGTGCCAAAGCAGGACTGCAGTTGAATGTTAAGAAGACAAAAATCATGACTACAAAGTACACAACCTTAACATTGTGTGCTCAGAACTCCAACTGGTGGCTGCTCAGTTCAAACAAACAGAGCTGCAATAGGTATACGAGCAGAGCCATGCGTACATATGCCCAGTCCTTATTTAAAGTGCACGGTAAAATGGATCAGCTGTCACTCTGATGTCTTGCTCCATCAGAGGCCTTTCCCAACTTTTCTGTGGCAGTTTCAGAGAAGGTGACGAGGATGGACAGACCAACAGTCCTGACCATCATTGATGTCAAAGCAGGTGGAATGGCTGTTACTGCTTTCACACAGCATCCTTTATCCTTAGTTTGCATTCTTAACCAGGGATAGGGAAATCTAGATGTTGCTGAATGCTTCAGATCTTGACTGTGACTGATGGGAGTTGAAATTCACCAATATCTGTAGGGCCACAGCATTCCCCCTGACCTTGCTCCAAACAACTGGGTCCCATGGGAACAAGTGTAACATTTTGTCAAATGTTGACTAGTCTGTCTTTGGAACTTAGTAGGGGAAACATGTAGTTGTGTTCAGTTTGTCTGGGATTTTAATAGGGACATTTCTTCATGATATGGGGTGGTTTATACTACTCTGTCCTGTGTGCTCAGAGTAGTTGAGTCTGGAGATGCATGGGTACCACTTGTTCACGATTCTCTAAGCTCTGTGTTTAAGGCCCATTGGATAGCAGCTCGTATATTCTGTTGCTAATCTTCACTATGGATAGAGATATTTATGTGCTAACTTGAATAATCAGACTCTAATCCTGAAGATCAGAGCATTTAAGTCTCAATAAATGCAGTGAGCAGCCACCTGCATAGTGACTTCAGAATTAAAACCTTATTTGGATACTGGAGTTATAGCATGTTATCATCTTACCTTCGCTGGACTTAGGAGGTAGATAGGACTAGCTTGATTTACAATCAGCTCCTCCCCAATAAGGGAGGTCACAGCCTTTTTGTTTTTTGCAAGCCCTAACAGGCTTTTGGAGGTCACTAATCATAGGGCTGTTGTTCAAGGTTTTGACATTCCCATACAAAGCCCTCCATGGTTTGGGCCCATGTTACTTGTCGGAGCATCTTTCCTTAATGCTATCTGCCTGATCCACAAGAACATCCCAGTCAAAGCTGCTCTGGGTGGCTGCCCTGAGGGAGGCCCATAAGCTTTCTAAAAGAGGTAGGGTGTTCTTCACAGTGGCTCCAACTTTATGGAACCATGTTCTGAAGCAGCACCACCTACCCCCCTCCCTGCTGACTCTCAGGAAGCTATTAAAGACATTGCTTTTCAGGGAGGCTTTCCACACTGGCCCCAGCTAACGGCCCCTCCCCGCCCTTTCTTTCCCCTCCTTTCCCTCCATCTGCTCGGTGCAATTTTTTTTTAGGGTTATTGTTACTGGTTTTACTGTTTCTATTTTTATTTTTGTTTTCTATTATATGTGTTGTAATCCACCCAGAATAGTGCTGTGCCACTAATTAGAGTGGGATACAAGCTAAGTACAGTGGGGTCTTGACTTGAGAACTTAATCCGTATTGGAAGGCGGTTCTCAAGTCAAAAAGTCTGTAGGTCAAGTCTCCATTGACCTACAGTGCATTGAAAACCGATTAATCCCGTAACAGGCCGTTTTTGTTCCATTTTGTTTTTTTTCTGGTCTGTAAGTCAAATTTCAGTCTGCAAGTCAAACCTAAATTTTGCGGCCAGAGAAGTCTGTAACTCAAAAAGTCTGTAAGTCAAGCCATCTGTAAGTCAAGGGTCCACTGTAGATAAAGCTGTCACAGCTTTATGTCAGATAACAACAAACACTATCCCCAAACAGAAGAAATGCGGTCCCTGCAAGGGTCATAATCTTGATGGCTTGGGGAAACAAATACATTTGACAGAGTTCTTTGCACAGCTTTAGCGCCATGCAGATTTGCAGCAATTTCTGGCAAAAATCAGAGCTTTCAGCAGGAATGTGGATTGCCATATACAGTATCACTACAAGTGCAGCATTTCTTGGATCAGGCACTTAATTTGAACAATATTGGCTGCTCTTGCTGATAAGGGTTTGGTTTCTTACAGTGGAATGTTTTCCATTGGTACTGCCAAAATTAATTTAAATTATGTACCCTCCAGTCAGTTCTTATGATAACTCTTGCCGATTTTCTAGGTATAAAGTACTCAAGTGATTTATCAGTTCTTATTCCGGTGTTGCTCTAGGTCTATGCATTTGCTCAAGACTGCACAGCTGGTTCTTCTGGGAAGCACATATAGAACCTAGCTACTAGTAGGAGTTTTAGAAAGGACAAATTAAATTACCTCTCATGTCACACATACTTTATTTTTGGAGTTTATGGCTACTATGTGTGAGAGCCACTAGCATGGATGGCTTTAAAACAGCGGTCAGGGAACAGGGGTAAATTACCCCAAATGGAGTAAAGATGAAAATCCTGGGGGTAATGACGATGCAACCCTAACCCCTTTCCCTCCTCCTCCTTCTCTTCTGCCCAGAGAGGGGTGTCCCTGGCAGCCCAATCGTCCCTTCCCACCCCCTTCTCAGGCCCAGCTGCAACCGAGCCATGGCGTCTGGGGTGGTGTACGGCAGCCGAGGTGGTGGTGGGGCCGGCCATGGCAAAGGGCAAGGCTGGGGCAAGTGCCTGGAGCACCCCAGCCGAGAGGAGCCTCTTCTTCCAGCGCGTCGAGTGGTGGATCGTGGCAGAGGGTGCGGCCATGACGGTGGCCTGGGCAGGCTCAGCCTCTTGGTGCTGGGCTGCCACCCCATCCCCGGAGGAGCCCGTCAAGTGGCAACGGTGCTTGCCCTCCGTGCGGCAGCTGTTCTGGTGCTTCAATGCGGGGCCCCTGGCCGCCCCAACGAGCCGCCACCAGAGCCGGTGCCAGAGTGGGAGGCGGTGTTGGGTGCCCCTGGAGGGCGAGCCACCTGCTGCTCTTCTACAGCCACCCAGGAGCCGCCCACCGGTGGAGAAAGGGAGCCGCCCCTGCGGGGCCAAAGACTGAGCGCGGCCTCACCAGGCAGCAGCGGGGCTTCGGCGAGGAGGTGGTGGCAGCCCGGGCAGCGGTGCTCAACTGGCTGCGTGTGACTGAGATCCATCCTTTCAAATCAAGGGGGTAATGTCAGCGTATATAAATTTTTTAGGGGGTAAAAGGTAAAAAAGTTCCCTGACCCCTGCCTTAAAATGAAACTGGACAAATTCATCAGTGCTATACAGCCATTATTACTAAAGCCATCAGTGGCTAGTAGAAATGGGCACAAATCACTTTATGCCAGGTCCTTAAAAGTCATTGGCACATCACAGGTGCTGCATGTTTTCTTCCCCCACCCCCTTGCTAGGCTACACCACTCAACTCTTTCCCTCCTTTTGGCTCAATCTTCTAGTCCTGACAGGAGCATGGATTTCCCTGCTCTGCCTTCTCTGACAGCTGCCCACTTAAAGGCTGTGCTGCAGGAATCCCTGCACCGCCTCGTCTGAGTGGGCAGCTGCTGGGGGACCTGGAGGCAGAGCAGGGAAATCCATGCTCCTGTCAGGACTGGAAGATTGAGCAAAGAGGAGGGAAGAGTAGGGCATGACAGATGTTGAGTGGTGTAGCCTGGCAAGGGGGTGGGGGAAGGGAACACAACTTTTTATAACATGGTATTAAATGATACATGCTCATCTTTAGTGGCTACTAGTTGTAAGGGCTATATAGTACCCACAGATGTTCAAAGGCAGTATCTCTGAATTAACAGCTGCTGATGTGCAGTTAAAGAAGGTTGTAGCCTAATGTCCTTCTTGGTCACTATGGGAAGCAGGATTCTGGACTAATCTGACCTTTAGCTTAAACTAGTACTGTTTGAAACTAAACTGGCACTGGCTATATTGAATATGCCTGATTTCCTTTTTTTTTTTTAATCCAGCAGGGCAACCAGATTCTAATACAGAAAACCTATCATTGTCACACCTTCAGCAGCAGCTCGGATGAGAATAGAAATAAGAATATTGGAACATGGTATACGCCCACAGATCAATAAGAGATGGTTGTGATAACTGTATTGGGACTTTGTGGCTTTAACATGCTGGATGTGATCTTCCATTAATGAACCTGGAACAGAAATGTTGTCTGACATTTATTCTTCACTACGAAGCGCAAATAGTGCCTTAAGAAGTTACTGAAGTGGTTGAAGCTTTTCAACTGTGTTGAAGTTTTGTTTCCTGTAATTATGAATCTGTTTAATAAAGCGTAATTTAAAATAGGTAGCTGAATACATATTTTGTGATATTAACACTCCAAGAATGTTATGGTTATGTCCCAGGTGTGATAAAACTGTAGATTATACTGTGGGACCCTCTTCACTTGAGAAATGTGGGTGCACATGTGTACAGTTTCTGTAATAAAATGGGATAATTTAACTCTCTCTTAAGTTCAATGTATTGTTGCTTAAGAACACTTTACTTGCAGACTAGCTCCTATCAGTTTGCTTTAAGAAAATGCTTGCAGTATCTCCCCAAACAATATCAAGAGGACAACTAAGCTAGTTTGCCAGTCTAAATCCAGAGCCACTGTGCACTGGTTTGTGCCTGTGTTAAAGATAGCCACAGCTGGATTGTAGAGGCAAAGGGACACTTTGAAACCTAAGAGCTTTCAGAGTGATGCTGAACAGTGTGTATATAAAGCAGAACTAAGTCCTTTTTGTAAAATAAAGTGTTCTTTCTTGCCATGTGCCAATTCTATGTCCTGCCTACCTAATCTCAATATCTTCATGCAGGAGAGATTAGCAATGTATTGTTTTTAAGTTCCACACTGGTACAAAACTGGTCACTCTATTTCCTTTAACCTTTTTTGAGGCAAGCTTCCTTAAAAGGTACTATGAACTTTATAAACTGGGTTTTCTATTAATCCTAGATTAATATTATGAAAACTAAAGTACATAACTCAGCTAATAATGAGCATAGGGCTCTAACCAGCCTTTCTGACATACAACTAATAGTCTCCAGATCTTGGACAAAAACTAGTCTTTTTAAGTGTTAAAAGGTACAATCCTATGTGCCCGCTTTCCTGCCTTTTGACTACATCATCACTGCTGATGGGAACTGTATTTTTAACACCTAGAATGGATAAGGTAAGGCTGCCATATGCAGTTACCCAGAATACAGCAGGGCTTAATTCTCAATTTGACAAATTTTTAATCTATCACCATTAAGCTACATTATGCAAATGTCACCTGTATAATTCAAAGATGCAATACTGAACATGTAAGTCAGTAAATAATTTTTTCCTCAGATATTTGGTCATTATATTATTTTATGGCAATCCTAAAACAAGGAGTGATTTCATTGTTCCACATAACATTAATCATAGACACTGGGCTGCTCCTGCTTGCTTGAAAAACAAGAACAACAGCAGTAAAATAACAGGAGATAAACATCAGAGGTTAATTTCCATTTTATCTGACAGTTTGAACAAGCAGAAAATGCACCTTTGGATTAAAATTTTCTAAAGACAAAATATTCTTTACAAGACATGTTCAAGTGCATTAAGCAATACAAAAATCATACAAATCTATAATCTGAAGGGATCGTTATAAAAATAGGCACCCCAGAGAAGTCAAAAATCAATCTCTGTGTATTTGCTAGTTAATATTAATCTATGTAAGAGTGCAAGGTCAGTTATAAAAATTAACCATAAATTAGGATGAAATGAGCATTACCTGATAGCCACAGGTCTGTACAAAAGAGTGAAAGACAGATGAACATGTACAGGGATATTGTATGATTTTGAAAGAGCTTTCTCATAAGCAGAGTACATTTACTAATTGTGCTCACAAATCTACAAGTTAGAGACTTATTTGTACAGATGTGAACATTTGCTATGCACATTTTTAAAATGTAGTAATGCTCTTACAGCAGATTACTCACACTTGTTAGTGTTTACATAAATACTGCAAATTTCAAATACATAATTTCAGTAAGAGTTTTCAAATGTATTTACAGATTCCAGTAGTTATGGCAATTCAACTTCTACCTATGAAGGCTTTAAACTATTACACATTACCTGTGTAAGAATAATGAAATGAGATTTAAAAGTTCCACTTAAAAAGTAATAACAAACAGTAACATTACACAGCTGCTTTTGAATAAACTTCCTTCTGTCCAATGCTAAAAGGATAGATTCAGTTTTACTTGCAATCAAAAAAATCTTATAGATGCATGCTTAAAATAAAACTTTTCTTCTGAAGTATTCTTAAGTACTACAGACAGGAAGGAGAAAAGAGGCAACAAGATTTAAAGCAACTACTGTTCAGATATTTGGTCTGCTGCAAACCTAAAAAAAATCTTAGATTACATATGGTTAAGACTCCAGCAATATAAATACAAGAGGTCTTGTTCAAATGAAGCGTTTTTACAAGGCTGCAACTGAGAATGTCAGAAAGATGTGACATACCACAATGCAATAGTTGCCTTCTCTCCAGGAGTATGGAAATACTCCCTAGCATACCAGGTGGAATCATGGAACTGATTAATGTCTTTAATGAACCAACAATCTCTACTAGCCTTGGGAGATTATGCTATCATTCTTGCCATTTGGTTAAAAGCACAAGCTTGCATTCTGTACACAATCCAGCAGTGCAAGTATTTGATCTTTGTAGGCCTACAGTCAAAATGCTTATCAAAAGTAATTTTTAAAAGAGTGTCATACAATTTATTTTTTATTATATAGTAAACTAGATGGGAATTCCACTGAAATCTTCAAAAAAGAACTGCTTTAAGACCAGTTTTCTGATCATGACAGGAGTTTCTAAGAAATATTTTTCCATGCCCTCGCTGGAAGTTTTAAATTAAGACATTAGGAAAACCAAACAGCATTTTCCATGCATGCAGAGATTTAAATACTATTTTCCACAGCAAATTTTATATAAAAATATATTTATACAACTCATGATATGAAAATCTTTTCTGCAGCACAAAGAACAGCTCTAAAAGAACTCTAGTACACATAGATGCTATGCAAGATTTGCAGTATTTAACTCTGTGGAACATCTAAGTATTGCTATTTAAAATTCTAGTTATTACTATATATATTAAAATAAAATCTAAATCACTCATTAAGGCATCTCAAATACTAGGAAATTTCTGGACAGACAAATGTTAAAGATATCTAGAACAACAGAAACAACTGACTCAACTCAGATAAGTGGCGGATTACTGATAACTATAAAATCTATTTCCATAGTTCAGTTTTTTGGGTTTTTTTCTGATTATTAATACCATTCAGTGCATAGTTCTGGTCTGTCAGCATCTCTCTCCAGCATTTAATAGATTCCAGATGAGACCAAAATAGAAGTTCTAAAGCAAGCCTACAACAGCAAGGAAAACTTCCATCTTAGTAGTTAAACAAGGCAACACAGTAGTATTAGTACTACTGTAACTTTTTAGGAGTACCGAAAAATGAGGGAAGATCAAAGTAACACTCCCATTTAATGCACTTCATTTTTCACAATCGTCCAAGGATTTCTAAACAGGATTCTTAGGCAGGGCTTGTACCCTAAGGTACCTTAAGGAATACTTTTTCCATTTCATTCTCATAACTGAGAATGATCTCCTTAGAGAGCTGGTCCCTCCCTAGGGAAGCCTATCATGAGACAGACAATGACAGCAGTGTATCTTATATTGTTGTTTCTTATATTGCTTGTGAGGATTTTTCCCATGGAAGTGACCAGCTCACAAAGCTACAAAAAGCCTGGAAAACAAATGTGGAGGATGAGATGCAGCATACAGTCCACATTAGTCCACCTCTACCTGAAATAAAATATTCATCTTTGTTCATATGTACCAGGAATGGAATGACACATGCCATAGTGAGATAGTCCAGTTCACACAGGACTATAACCTTTCCATTTTTACGAGGTCTTTTACACACCATCATAATTTCCATGTACAGGCAAAAACCTAAATTTTTCAAAATGGTAGCATAGATAGGTATGAGGACTGTACATCGTTACTGCATGTATCCTTTGGCTCTAAGTTTGTTGATACAGAAACAAAATGAATAGTCTCCATAATATTTCAACCATGGTTAATTTAGTTAGAGCAATAAAAGTTAAAGGATGGGTCTTCTGCATCTCATTTTAAAACTACAGAATATTAAATTATTCAGCAATCTGAGGAAATACAAAGTTTTAATATTTTCTACAGTTTTAACCAGCATGGCAGTTGAAGATTAAAAGGGCAAATGACTTGTATAATGGAATCTAAGGAAAGTGTATAACGTAATCTATGGAAAATATAGATTTGTAACTATCCAAGTTATTGTAGAACCAGAATCAAAACATGACATTTCATATCAATTTACACAATTTGTTTTGAGAAGGTATTTTTAACCAAGTCATGTAAAAAGGAGCAGCATTCATTAGTTGTACAAAGCAAGCTATTCCTATTTATCAAGTTAAATAAAATGTAAAAGGGACTTTTTGTAACAATTCTGGCTGCATTCTAAGTTAGCTTATAATGGGCACACCTTTTAAAGCAGAAAAGACAGATCCATGAGTACGTAACAAAAAGTCTTTGCATCTGTCTTGATCACTCACACATGTGCAAAATTCATCTCATTAACTGTAACTGTGACGTTTAGGTGAGGTACAGACACCCAATTCATCATACTGGAGTTCAAAGGATTTCTCTTTTTTTCATAACATTCTTTCTTTACCTATTGCAATACACATTTCCAATGGAAGGTCTATGCCTTTGCTCAGTTGTGGAATAATTAGATTCAGATGTATTGTGGTGTGAAGCATTCGTCTGCATTCCAGTTGGTGGTAAAGATGCATCTTTGCTCAACATACTGCAATCAGCAAAGTACAGCTTGGGTCTCTGGTGATATTTCATCCTATATGTATCAGTCATACAGTTATCAACTGAAAAATAAGTGGTAAGGGATACAATATCATTTGCATTCGCATCTAATGAGCTATTATTTGGTCCTGTAAAACAAGCCTCTTTATTTGCACTATTGCTTGACACAGCCCACAAATTATTTACTGATGAACTTGATGGAAAATCCGTTTTCGAGGATTCATTCCCATGAAATGATGCCTTAAGCCTTTCTTCATCTGCAAATGGACTTGTTTCAGGTGTAGTTTTTGAAGTAATACTTGTAACATGCCTTCCACTATTTGAAGGATTTGTGCACAATACATCTGTTACTCTTGAATCTACAGTGGATTCATGTTCTAATCCATGCAAAGAGGTCAGAGCATATTTCTTTGGTGGTAAAGGAGGAGGAAGATTTTGGTAAATTGCTTCTTGCGTATCATCAGTCTTGCATCCATACAAAGGAATTTTAGGCTCAGCAAATGGAATTGATTCAGAACAGGAGGGCTTGGATGTATTCTGCTGTAAGAAAAATGCAAGTGCTGGCCTGGACCTTGCTATCTGTGCGGCAGGCATACGCAAATGGGGAGAGAAAGAATCATTGTTCTGAACTCTTTCAGATCCTATTGCATTCTCACCATTGTAGGAACAAGCTGAATTGTCAGCATTATGTACTGGTATATTTGCGTCACCAAAGGTAGCATCATTAGACCACTGTGAGGAGCTTTGCTCACTTAATGCACTGTTCTTCATTTCCCTGTCAGTACAGTTCTTTAAAGTGGTCTGCAGTGTTAATGAAGGGAAAAACTTCTTATTGCAATCAGGTACATCAATTCTATAAAATAAAATATCATAAGTTAAAATATTAAAAAGCTAGAAATCTAAAATAATACCCTGTTTCCCCATAAATAAGACCTAACCTGAAAATAAGCCCTAGTATGATTTTTAGGATGCTCATAATATAAGCCTTACCCCCAAAATAAGCCCGTTAAATGCAACCCCACCGTCCACCATCGTGCAGCAGCCAGAATAAGATGACATGACTGTATTTGAATAAATGTACATGGCTGTACATGAAAAAAATAAAACATCCCCTGAAAACAAGCCCTAATGTGTTTTTGGAGCAAAATTTAATATAAGACCCTGTCTTATTTTCAGGGAAACACAGTAGTTAAGCTACAGACCACTTCTAGTTCACAATGACAAAAGTTCCATCTTATTTCAGCTGATTAAGAACCAAGACCAGTAAGAGAAGTCCCTTCTCAATATAATTCTAGAATACAACAAGCCATCTTATTAGATCCGTTCATGCTTAAGGGGAAAGCAACAGAAAGCAGTATCTTTGGAGACATTGCTGTGGTAAAGGAAAAGCCCTACACCCCCACCCCACTAATGGTATGCCTGGTTCTCACAAACAGGGATCCTGTGGGGAGTGTGATGTGTTGGCATTTTCATCTTCAAAGTTTCTTGCAATATATACCTTCTACACAAAGAGGGATCCTGTGGGGAGTGTGATGTGTTGGCATTTTCATCTCCAAAGTTTCTTGCAATATATACCTTCTACCAACACAACCAGCATATCAGGATGACAGGCATACTAATAGTTTAATATCCTTTACTCCACAAATCAGTGGGTGTCTTGGGCACCCCTGAGTTAGTGGCAATAATCTCTTCTAAATATGTAAGAACTGCAGACATATCATCTGGCTGATCAACTACATTTGTTTCTGGAAAGGCTTCTTTCAAAAGCAGGTTTTCAAAATATTCAAGTAACAAGCTTGGTTACCTAGTACAGTGGTTCTTAACCTTTGTTACTCGGATGCTTTTGAACTGCAACTCCCAGAAACCTCAGCCAGCAGAGCTGATGGTGAAGGCTTCTGGGAGTTGCAGTCCAAAACTCCTGAGTAACCCAAGGTTAAGAACCAGTGACCTAGTATAACCATTTCACATGACATCTGCAAAATCTGCAGTCCGGGGGGAGGATCATTTCATTTGTACTCAACCAACATCCACAGTCTCAAAATTCACCCCCCCTCCTTGCTGTAGTTTTCCCTTCCCTCATGGGAAACATGGGATATGGGGCACCTTAACTGTTCTCTTACTGTCTGCCAACTTTCCTATGTCAACTCTGCTTCACCTAACCCAAAACAGCTGCTTGGTAGACTGGGAAGAGTGATTTGCACTAGGAGAGTTGTTCAATGCTTGACCACAGAGCACACTGGAAATTCTCCCATGATTGACTATAAACTATATTATGAGACTGCCAAGTAGATACTCTCTGATATGCTCCACAGTTGGCCTTCTGAAAAATAGGTGCCGGAAGCTGCACTTACAGGCCCAACCAGCAAGTCAAACAGTCATTCTACTTCACCTGCTTAGTATGCCCTGATACCAGGCACTGAAGCCTTCCCAACATAGTTGTGCTTCCTCTATTCCAAAAAAAAAGCTGCTTGGCAAAATAGAAGAATGGTATATAGAAACAGACATCACCACTTTGGATCTTTTCCTACGAAATCACAGCTAGTTTATACGAAGAAATAAGTGTATGTATCTGTGGAGAGAAGGATAAGTAGTACTGATCTATTGCTGGCCTTGACTCTGCACACTATCAGGCCTGCCCATCAACATGGCCCTCAAAGGATTCCCTAGCACGCCACCCAAAAAAAGAGACCATATTTTAGACCATATAGACACAATAAAAATAAATTACCTTTTCAATGGTGGACTGCACACTTGATGATGAGATGTAGAAGATATATTATGAGGTCTGTAGTTAATATGAGTATTAACATCTTCTTTCTTCAAACCTGAGAGAAAGTGTTCACGTTTACCATCAAACTACTACAACACTTCTTTGAACCATAAGTTCTTTAGGACCAATTGTATAGTTGTGCAAAACAGTACCTTACATTTTAACTCTTTCTAAAGAATGCAGGGGGAAAGGATGAGATAGCCTATCAAGAAAAAACTATGAAATACCACAATTAAATGTGAAAAGTGTGCAAGGCATGTATTCTTAGGATATACGTTTGTACATATCAATAAACAAATCGCAATTTTATTATGCACTTAACAACGTATGTGAAACTAAAACGTGAAGATGAGAGCCATATTGATAGCATTATTGTAAATCTGGCAAATGCACAGATAAATGGTTAGAAAGGGGCATACTGCTAACTGTTTAGCCAAGAAAGAACAACACTAAAGCCAGAAACACCTGAACAAGTACCGTGGTGCCTCGCTTAACGGGCGCCCCGTTTAACGACAAATCCGCATAGTGATTAAGTTTTTGCGATCGTTTTTGCGATCACATTACAATGTTTTTAATGGGAAAATATTGCTTTGCGATGATCGGTAAGCTGTTTCGCTTAACAATTTTCGCATAGCGATGATTTTCCAACAGCTGATCGGCGGTTCCAAAATGGCCACCAGGTTAAAAAATGGCCGCCTGCTGTTTTCGCCAGGATTCCTTGCTTACCGGGCAGCGAAAATGGCCGCCGTATGGAGGAGTTTCGCTTAAAGGTGAGTTTTTTGCCCATAGGAACGCATTAAACGGGTTTTAATGCATTCCTATGGGCTTTTTATTTTCGCATAGCGAAGAATCCATATAGCGACGATTTTTGCTGCACGGATTATCGTCGCTATGCGGGGCACCACTGTATTTGGCATAAAGGTAGCAAAAGACGAACAAATCACTCTGCAAGATACTACTTTGAAAACATTTCCTGCATAGATTTGCATGTAACTGTTCTGAAGTTTCAAAGCATGCCACTGACATAAGGTGGCCATATTCTCCATGCTGAGCATTCAGTGGTGACTTTCTTCAACTAATGTATGTTCCTATGCAGTTACATGCACTCAACAGGAGGAGGCAGCAGATGGTTACAAGATGTAATATGGCAAGCATTCAATCAAAGCTGCTTACTGATACCAAGAGCCTTGTGCCTTCAGAATTCCAGCTAATTTAAAAATAGATGTGTTATTTTTCTCTTCTGCTGACATGAAGATCCATGCATGGTTAAAACCAGAGACAGTTCGGAAGGAATTTTGGCTCTAAGTTATAGTCAAACTAAATATGGCAGACCTTAAGCATATATAACAGAGGCTTCACAATTATCCATGAAGCATTACCAGTAAGAAAATGAAATCTGGCTTCTGATAAATTTAGTTTTCATTTGGAGAACTGTCTGACTACCTGAACATTCTAAAACCTTCTCTGATCGGAAAAGGAAATTGCTTCTCTGTCCAGCTCTGAGCTGACATTTGGAAAACAATTCCAAATACAAATGACATATATGTGAAGCAAGTTTATGTCCCATGTTAGGAAGGCAAAAGCATGTCAGGCTTTCTGAATAGAAGTGGTAAGACATAAATTAGATTTTTTTCTGTTTTGTAATATAGTAATCACTAGAGAGATGTTTGCATTTAAAAACAAATAAAGCCTAATGTTTCATAGTTTATGATGAACAAACTCCTATTGATTACATTGCTATAAGTGCAGTGGCATAAACCACAGAAGAAAATCGCCACCGATTAGCAAGTTCCCCTGTTGTCATTTACCTATTCACACTACTAGCATGCAGCAACTCTAATTAATTAATTAATTAGATAAAGAAAACAAACAAACCCTCACCCTCCCCATAAAATCACCTTTGGCAATATACCCCACTGTACTTATGCTTGTGTAACTAACCAACATGATTCTGGCAATTGAGGTAACACAACTGATTTCTTACCATCACAGTTTTTATTCTGCTGGGAGGTAGTCTGCAAAACACACCCAGGATATCTGGCAGACAGATTCTGATCACTATGAAACAAGAAGCAGTACCATGTCAGAACACCGAGATTCCTCCTGAAGTACATGTTTCACAAAGCCTAAAGTATCACACACCATTCCATCAAAATATTCACTAAGTACCTGGATTATCATGTCACAAATTTTAAAACATAAAGCCATTATGTAAGAGAGCATATTTAAAAGAGCTCACTCTAATTCCAATCTTGCAAGAAGGGGCTATTTCCTTCCAGTCCAGGGGGAGGGTATTTAAGTGGACCTATCATACTGTTTAACCTCCATCCTCAGCTGTTTTCCCCCAACCACTATCTTCTGGGACCTTTTCATCTAGCTTGCTAGAGATCTATGTCAGGTGCCACCTTTCTAATGCTGGGAAAGAATATTACACTATGCACCAAACTGATTGCAAGCTTATAGGATATTTGCCTTCCTTGTAGCAATATAGGTTTATTTTTTCATTGGATCAGCTATTAATGCATTGTGGGCAGTGTGTAGTACTACACACCAGCTTTAATCAAAGTTGTGATCATTTCCATCCCAAGTCTGCTCTTCTGTGTATATCTGTTATCCTTCTCCTGGTTTACCTGTACCCTTTGCCACTGTGGATGTAATAGATCTTTGTAACTGAGTACATCAGAGTTGCAATTTTTAAAGTAGCAGATGTGTTAGTCTGTGAAAGCATAGTTAGACAAAAACAAACCAAAACAAAAAACACAACAAAACAACATGGTGACACTTTTATATTCCAATATAAACTTTCATGGATAAATCCACTTCATCAGACATATTAGTACCTGGATCAGACTTTTGCCACATAAAGGTGATGGTAACTGAGATTTTAAAAATCAACTACTACTGCAATTCACTCTAAAAGGAACCTTCAGCTCCTTCCTCCTTAAAAAGGATTCTTAAATCATTATGAAATGTGAGCTCCTACAGTAATTCCCAGTTCACTGATGGTGTCAACAAGGCTATTATTATTTTGTACAGTGATAACTGAAATTATTCACAGCCTGGTGACCCATTTATTTACTAATTAACCATAACAACTTTGTCCATTATCGGCATCCCTAACTGCTTGTGGGGCCACATATAAATAACATATAATTTCATTCTTATGTCTGAGGAAGTGGACTTGATGTATCAAGATAAAGGTAAAGGTTCCCCTTGACAATTTTTGTCCAGTCGTGTTCGACTCTAGAGGGCGGTGCTCATCCCCGTTTCCAAGCCATAGAGCCAGCGTTTTGTCTGAAGACAATCTTCCATGGTCACATGGCCAGTGCAACTTAGACACGGAACGCTGTTACCTTCCCACCGAGGTGGTCCCTATTTATCTACTCGCATTTGCATGCTTTCGAACCTCTAGGTTGGCGGGAGCTGGGGCAAGCGACGGGAACTCACTCCGTCGTGTGGATTCAATCTTACGACTGCTGGTCTTCTGACCCTGCAGCACAGGCTTCTGCGGGTTAGCCCGCAGCGCCACCACATCCCTGATGTAACAAACCTCACATTAAAATATAGTAATTCGTTTTTAAGGTGCCAAAATATTTTAGTATTTTATTATGTGATATTCTTATAGACTAAAATTACCACTTCCTTGAAAACTACAACTTGTGTCAGTAATCCCATTGTATTTAAGGTGCCACCATGTTCTTGTCTTTTTTTTTAATTTTGTTTTCATTTTGTCACCCTGTACATCAGAACGTTTTTTAAGGGAAGACTTTTTTTCCAAGGGAGAATGGTTCTGAGTATGACAGACACACTGCAACATAGGATTTCTTTTAAATGTCATATACCGTATTTCATTTTTTTCAGTGTTACCTGCACGAAGCTGTCTCTTTGGTAACAGTGGTATCAACTGGGCTGCTTCCCTCGATGACAGGTGAATCCAGATTGGCAGATGCATTGCTGATATGATCACTGCTTTCATAACCAGACTCAGTTCTCTGCATCTGCCAAGTGTCGTTATGACCTTTTCTTTCTATAAATCCTTTGCCTTTTTCTGCATTTCCCTTCTCTTCTGAATCCAAGGAGCTTCGGCTCCCCATCTGCTTTGTGTCATCTTCATAAATAGTCATCAAGGCTTTTTGACTTGGATTTTCTTTTGGCCAGTTGTTTGAACTCTGCTCCTTTTCATGTTTAGGTTTGCTACTTGCATTTAGTTTGGGCTTTGAACTATGCTCTTTTTTCTCAGGTTCACTAAAGATGCTATCTACATTCAGTGTTTCTCGCATGGGCTTCCAACCTCTACTTCGACTTCTGCTGCTACTGACACTTCCTTTGTCTTTAGAGTCTTGGCTGCTGTCTGTATCATAACCGGTGATGCCATCAGCTTTCATGCGACTCGCCTTCTCTCCATCAGAAAGGCCATCTGTTTTATTTGAACTCAATACCTGCACATTGGATCTGATTTGGTTGTGTATTTTTTCATGTTTGTAAGGTCCTCTCCCTTGACTACTATACATACGTTCATTAGAATGTTGCCTAAATCCATTTCCAGAAGGTGGTGATCCTGGCTTAAAGTTAGTGCGAACGTCACCAGACAGGTCTTAGCAAACAAACAAAAAAGAGAGAATATTTTAACATGTCTCTAGTTATAACAAATTCCTATTTAAACTTCAAAACAATTTATTCTTGCTAGCACATGTTGGTTGAAATCCAGCAGTAAGCCACAACCAGAGTAGGTCCACTGAATCATCAAGGATTTGGTAAATAAACTCCACTATGAGTTCCACTTATTCATTGAGCCTGCTCTAGTTGTGACTTACTGCTGGATTTCACACAGCATTTTAAAACACAGCATTCTTTAATCAGAATATGTAGGAGTAACTGATCCACACAATGTTTCCCTTTCACAAAGAAGGTTGTTACCTTTTTGTTTTCCAGATTCTCTCTTTGATCCTCTGTCTACATCCTTTCTTAAAGAAGATGATAAACCTTTCATTTCGGCAACCTTCTGAGCACACTCTCTTGAAATGTCCTTTGCCTTTTCTTTTTGCTCATTATGTCCTAATTTTCCTGAAACAGTAAATATTAGTACTTAGTTATTTGGCCTCCTAGGAAGTTACGGTACATTTTCAGTATGTTGTCTTACATTTGCTGTTAATCTGAATCTATGAACTCCTTTTTATCAAGGTAAAATTAGCTTTTTAAACCAGGTAATTGGGAAATGTGCATACTTCAGGCCAGGATACCCCATCCTCTCTTTCATCATCACAGAGTTCAGCAATTCTTCCACTTACCTCAGAGATGGAAGGGGAAGAGGGGCTAATCCTGTTAATATTATGGTGATTTAGAAGGACTCTTAAGGCGAAAACCAATCGTGAGGATCATTCCTCCATCCTACAAAATGTTCCAAAGTTGGGAGGAAGGGCTCAGGGTCATTTTGTTACTGGACCTCAAACATCATAAGTAGAAATCACAGTGGAGGCTTGGTTGTTTGCTGCTATACTCTGAAGTCCATGTGAACATTTCAAAAGTATAGCAGCAAAGAAAATCAGTTTTTTTTCACTAATCAATTTATTCTTCTCTTGTGTGTCAAACACTAACTTTCTTCATTTTTGATGCGTGAAAGGTCAGGAAGAGGACTCTATCCCCTAGGGAAGGAACAGCATCTGGGTGAAAATTATTTTTAGTTGTTAACCAATGATGCCAGTCAGACTGAATGGAAGTCTTATTTCAGTCAGTACTATTTAGATGTTGAGATTGTAAATATTCTGTGTAATTAGGTAAAGAATTACATATTACACAGATACATAGCATACAATTACATAATTATTTTGAATGAATACTAATTTTAGCAACCAAACAAAAAATGGTGCATGGAAAGACTAACACTTACAAAAATAGTTCAAAAATTTGCAAGATACATACCTGACCCTCGGATACCATTAGGCTGAACATGGTTTCGATTAAAGGCTGAGCTTTCAGGCTGAAATTTTTTAGTGTTTTTTTGAGTAATAGATTCTCCAAATCCATTCTCTCTGGTACGATCTGACTTAGGAAAAGCAGACTTTTCAAATCCTATGAAGGGATATGGAATGTTAAAACCATCTAGAAGAAAAATCTTAACTCATTTCTAATTCTGGTCAGTTTTATAGCCCTGACTAGTGTAAAATAATTCCTGGTATGCTATGATGATCTAAAAATCATGCAGTTAGCACAGTCAGAGGCTAATGCTAAATGCAGAAAGGAAGAACAGTAGGAATCCACATCAGTAAGCAATTCTACAGCTGCCAACTACTCCTTTATCTCACAAATGCCTTCACCAAACTCATCTTTCTGTAGCAAGAAGACTGCAGGTAATTTGAACATATTCTTTATATTAAGAGGGTGGAATGATTTCAGTCAAAGTAACTGAAGTCAGCAAGAGCAAAAGACCCAAACCACTGATTTTAATTTTGTTTCTCATTCATGTGTCCTCCTATTCATTAACAGATTATATACATGTTCATGTACTTTGTGTTATTAAATAATGCTCAATTTGTGAAAACCCAAGTCTTTATTACCAATTTCTTCTCCAGTTCCTGCAGCAGCTTTGTAATGTGACCAGTGAATTATCTGTCGAGGTGCATCTTCTGTTGATACAGGTGTACCATCTGGATTTGCATAAAATAGCAGCAACGGCTGAAAATGACACCGAATACACTTGGACACCACATCTTTCCATTTTGTTCCAACCTAAAAAAGTTATGTTTTCATCAAATAAATTCAAATATATATAAGAATATACTGTATTTTTCCATCTATAAGATGCTACTTTTTCCTAAAATCATTACCCTAAAAATTGAGGTGCATCTTTTACATGGAGGTAAGCTGAGATAGTTGACGAGAGAACAAAACAGCACATACCTTGCCTCTCTAAACAGTCTTGCTTCAGCCACGAGGCTTAGTTTCCTACAGTCAGGAGACTTAGCTACCTCCAACCATGAGCCTTATGGAACTGATCTCAGCTGATCCTGAACAAACCAATTGGAATACACCTCCATGGAGGTGGAGTATGTAGGCTCACAATTCAACAGAGACAAAATGTCTGACATTCTGAGCTTGAAGGCTGAATCCTCAAGCTAAGTTTTCTTAATTTTTGGGTTAGAAAATTGGGGTGGGGGCATCTTATAAATAGGGTTGAGTTATAAATGGAAAAATACGGTAGTTCAGTTAAAATGGAAATGATGTATACATATATTCAATGAATTTCAAGATCTCACTAAGGAGATTGTTCAGACACATGAAGAGAAAAATACTACAGTATACAGTACCTTTTACGCCAGTGTTTATGCTGTGAAAATAAGTGAGGTTACAAATGCTCACAACACAGGATAAGGAACATTTCTTTCATTTAAGTGCCACCCAGTCAGAAAGGGTATATGTTTATAAAAATTGTTTGGTTTGGTATCAAGTTTTAATCTTATCAGAAAGTTATATAAACCTCTCATCAATTCTGTGAGACATGCAGATACTTATACACAAAATACATTACTATATATTACCTCTTTCACATTAGCATCGTCAAACAACACCCACTTGCAACTCTTGGTATGAAAGGCAAAGGCACAGTAATGTTTGCTTGCATAGCAAATCATCCCCACAAGAAAAAGCTCACTATTTTTGGCATGTTCATCTGTAACCCTGTAGAACAACTGTAAAAATGATTTGTCGATCAGCAAGAAATACAGTACAGGCTGAAGAGCATGACATTTATGTAGTGAAGGTTGAAATTTTTGATATAGTTTATTTCAGTTAGCCAAATTAAAGTATTTCAATTATTTTTAAACATGTTAATATATGAGAAGCAAACAGCACCCTTTCACTAATGTCCTCCCTAGAAATGTTCCCTGGAGTCACCATTGATATAATTTTGGCAACAGAAAACATCTTCGACCTGGACATAGCAGAATGTAACGCAAGCTAACCCTGGTTACAGTTTTAACTATTCTTTTGAATTTTATGAATCTCTTTCACTGCTGTTTCTGCTTATTTAATTGTCTAATATTTATATATTTATAGCGTTCTTTAACTGAACAGCCCAGAAGTTTTCATTAACCATCTGCACGATCAAAATGGAAAAATATTGTATCTTGCCTTATCTACAAAGCCAATTGAAAAAAATATCTTGAATATTAGGAATGAATATTTTTGACCTCATAATTACAGATTCAGAGATCAGTGAAAGAAATGATTTTTCATTAAAAAGAATGAATATAAAAATTATGTTAGCAATTTTTAAAACTAAAAACTTTTTTTAAATTTATTTATTTATTTCTAAAGAATGAAAAGACAATCGAACATTTTACAAATATTAAATACAAAACTATTCCCCACTTTTCTCCAAATCACATATATATACCTTTACCCATTACCTTTTAAAAAAAAATTGACCAACAATCTAAGTCTCTTTTCAAACCACATGTCTCCATTTTATCAGCATATTTTAATAAGGTCTTCCAGTTTTCCGTGAATTTACTATGGCTTATTTCCCCTCTATATACTCTAACTTTATTCGTCATTTTTTCCATCAACAATGTATGCCATATTTTACTTGTGAATGCTTGCAATGAGAGATCTTGGGCTTTTTTCCAATTTTTAGCTATTTCAGATCTTGCGGTGCCTATGAGATTTGCAATTAATTCTTTATATTGTAGTTTCTCATTTCCCTCACAAAAACTAAATTGTGAGATTGTAATCCTACACAAACCTAGCTGTGAATAACTGAACCAAAAGAGGATTTATTTCTGAGAACAGATTTGCATTGTTGGGCAAGAGGGAGTGCTTCTCAAACCTACAAAGATCTCAAGCAATTCAGAAGTTGCTTTAAAAATTGAAAGAGGTACAATTCAGGAAGTGACAATATTACATGAATTTGTCAAAATACCCCTGGAAGATAAAGTTGAGTTGCCAAATTCCGGATGACGTCTTCTGTTAGGTCAGAATGTTCTGAATCCCAGACTAAACCAATTGTGACAATTTCTGGGCAATTCATTAGAACACGACGGATTTTTATTTTTTGTCCACAGTTACTCTACAAAGGAGAGGAAACAGTTAAATTATACATAGTTTAGACTCTTATTTTTTTAACATTATAAGAACTCATTGTGAATAAGTTATGTTATTGACAATTCTGTTTACTCACATTGTTATTTTATTTTTCACCTAAATAACAGCAGAGTTCTGACCTATTAGCAATCATGCTGCTATTCGTCTGACTTCAGTATAATATTTCTACAATAGATTTCTGAAGAGACAGAGGTAAGGACTGGACTGAGGAGCAATAATTATCAGATACTGAAGCCCCCACCCTCCAAAGTTTCAACCAAAGTGAAAGTGATCCTTAGAAACATCAAAACCGGGGGTGGGGCTAGATAGGAAACTTTACAGATTACTGTATGTGGCTGATAGCATCATTAACCTTACAACCATAGAGTTGAACAACAGGATTTCAGCCAATATATTTTTAGGAATACAACCAAATTAAGCTCTGGTTACAACCAGAAACACTCTTAATATGAACACTACTGATACACAGTGCTTAAGAAACTATATTAATTAATTATAATAAAAATTGCATATTTAGCGCTTCCATCTTACAGAAACATCTGTCTTTCTCCATTTAAGACCAAGAAAAAAACAACAGTTATTTTCTATCAACTCTCAGGCCTTTCCCACAGCTTACTCATACCCCAGTGCACTCATCAAAACTCGATATAAGGTTCTGAGGGCAGATTATGGGATAATTTATAGATCTGAAATTCCCATTGGAAGCAACGACATTCAGTTATAAAATTCCTTGTCAATTTTAAACTTTTAAGCTTTGTCACTATTAAAGTAAGTTCCTCAAATGAAAATCATTATCCCTTTAGTCAACTTACAGGACAGTTCCTGAAGTCATCAGTAGTGTTTGCAGCCTGAAGCAGTTCTGCAAACATTTCAGGCTTCAGCCGCTCATGTCGTTCCAACATTCTATCAACTTCATTGCTGTGAAGAGGGATTTGCAACATTTTAACTTACTGTAAACTATTACAACAGAAAACAGAATTTTCAACAAGTGATTTGATATTTTGTATAGTATCTAAAATAGATATGACTTTTGAGTTCAGCATAGCATGTATCACTAGTAACAAGGTATCCCAGGAAGGCTGGTTGCAATATGTGATAATAAGAACAAATGTAATGGGAATATTTACAGTATAAACAACTACCTTTTAGGATTTAATGATACGTCTAGTTTTATTTCCCCCCAGCTTTGAGCTGTTCTTTATCAACATATAGTCACATAATCTGCCTAACAAGGCTTCTTCTACATCCAGTGTCAGGCTGGCTTCAGACAGACAGTACAGTATGACGAAATTTCAATCCTCTCTCTCCTCCTCTTTGTATTCATCCATACTCTGTTTAAACATGGAAGCCTAACTGGTCTTCCAGAAAAGGTTTATGGAGTGCTGTACTGACTGTTGGAAACTCATGGTATGGAAAGTTGTCCCCATCCCTTTTATCCTGATGGAACCATTTCTGTCAGAAGAAAACCTTTGTTGGATTCTGGCCATACATCTAAGTTATGACATTCTGGGGAGGAAAACGAATTACAACCCAAAATGGAGAAAATAAATTTTCTTACCACAGTGCTGTTGTTGAAATGTAACGCACAAATTCTGTGAAAGGCAAGGGATCAGAAGATGCCCCACAACTACGACACACACACTGTAAATTAAAAAAATCTGCTGTCACTGTTTCAAAAACCATCAAAATAATATCATTATATAATTTTGTAATATTAATGAAAATGTAACCTGTTCATATAAGGTCATAGCAAACTTTTGATGAGTAATGCAGGACTTAGATGTGCACATATCCGTTTCACTGCTTGGAACTATGTGATAGTGGATTCTCTCAAGGATATTTTCCTAAAACAAAAATGCTGTAATTTAGAAGACTTATATTGTGAGCTACCTTATTTAGGTTATCGAAATAGTTTACAAGTATGATTAAACAAATATGTTTTTAGTATTAGTAAGAGGAAAGCTTTCACCAGATAATTTTCTATTCTGGAATAATCCAACAGACTCCTCTACTCTACATAGGATGTCCTTGCGGGAAAATCAGTAGCTTCTACCTCATGCCCTCAGGTATCAAGGCAGATGGTGGAAGAGCTAAGGGCAAGCTGTCTGGAATGCTCTATACATAAGTGATTGTAATCTTTACAACAAATAAGATAAGATAACTGCACTTAACGTCAGATATTTGGCAGTTTGCAATGAATTACACACTCACTGTTGTACATTAGTGGGCTTTTCTTTTTAAAGAGACTATAGCACATGTAAAAATCCAGAAGACTTACTGATTCTATTGAAACAGAATAGCCCAGTGAAATAGGTTAAGCAATCCACCTCTAATCCTCTCCTAGTTCTATTCAAACTACCACACGAGCCATAAAGAATAAAAAATGAATTTGAAATATAAATACTATATAAAGATGCTTACAAAACATTCTGCTGCATCATCCATAAAGCCAAGTTGAAATCGTTGTTCATCTTTAAAGCTTTCAGCTAAGGCATGCCTCATATTATTTGATGGGAGAGCTTTTTCCCGACTGTGCTGGAACTGTGTAAATATTGTCTGAAAATCAACATTATCATCTATTAAGATATTTACATGCCCGTTGTTTGAACAGGATAGTATATTCCAATATTTCTTTATCCAGAAGAAAAGTGGCACAGGATACACTGAACCCAGTACATTTATTTAATACTTAATATCACTTTTCTCCACCTCATTTGACAAATCACGTAACTTAATTGTTTTTCTATCCCCCTCAGCATAACTTTGTTTTCCAGATACTAAACCTTGATTTGAAATAGAAAAAGTTGCCATGAAACTTCAGAGAAATTAGATTATAGGGAGTAAAATCTGCTGCACTGGTGAAGAGGTAAAAAAATCTCAATTAATTAGAAAAACTCCATCCTGTCTTTCATCCTCCTTCACATAATAACTTACCAGGTGCCTCCAGAAAGCACACAAGCAGATCATAAAAGCTCCACTTACACTCCACAGCAACAGAACACTTTCTGCAAGCACAGAGCTTGTATATAGTCATCTAAACTGCAACAAAATGTTGCAGTCTATTCTCACCCTCTAATACGATTTCTCCTTTTACATGGCCATGCTTTCCTCTAGAATACTACAACTGCTAACAGCAAAGTAAATTTCTCCCTCATTCTCTATTTTGCTTTTTTGATCTTTATCCCATTGCTCAGTGGCAACTGTTTTATATTCTGCGTAAAAAATACTTAAAACCCCAGAAACTGCCAAGCCACCAACAAATGCTACCTCTGAAAATGAACAAGACTTTAAACCAATCTAAATTTCACTTTACATTCAAAATGTTTATTAGATTTGTACCTTCCATTCAATATTGTTATAGTAAGATGGCAAAGGCATCAACTATGTAAAAACAAAATGTGCTGATTTTATATTCATCACATATTGGAAATGACTATTAAGAACTTTAAGTTACCAAAATTAGCCTATATGAAATGGATAATACAATCCTAAATTTACCTTTAAAGCACAGAAAATACAGGCATCACCCTGACAAACATGTCCTGTTAATCCTCTTAAACTTCGTCGGAATATGTCAAGTTGCCATAAAACCTACAAAAAGAAAATGAGGAAGTGGAACATAATGAGGACATCAGTTTGTTCTGTATCTTACAGTATCAACAAGGCCTAAAACATATGTAGTTTTAAATGGACTAATAGATAAATTAGTTGGTTTAGAGAAAGGATGATTTGACTTAGCATTTTAGCAAATTATTGTAAAATATGATACCAAACAAAAGCTAAACAAATGATTATCAACATTTACATTTTATCTCTTCACTTTTATCCAGCCCAGTATTGCTCAAATCAACAGGCAATTATTTAACTAATGTTTTACTTAATAGTTGTTTTGGACTCTTACATATATGTATTTAATCAGGGTAAGATGCACCTAAACCAATGTGGATAACAGACACAATTCATTTTAATGAATGGCAGAAAGTTGCCATCAGATTCAGTGTGTATACAAATTAAGTCATGCATTGAAAATTCCTACAGCTATTGTTAGAGGAGAGACAACTAGGTGCTGTTTAGTCAGCATTTGATCAGAATGAACAAAACTCAGATTTAAAAGATTAGAATTCTCACTGAAAAAGAAACCTAATGTTTTCTCATGAAAGTCAAGTCTAAGAACGGTTAATATATTTATGTGCAAACACCTCTTTTGGAAGAAACAAATGAGATGAATGTGGGGCAAAATTAGCAGAATCTAAGAGAGCAGTAATAAGCAAGAAAATTTAGCTGAGGACTAAAGTCTTTAACATGCAGAATTGATTCAGCGGCTGAGACAAGCTAGAATTCAGTGTAAACAACAGTTTGTCTCGAATGCAAACAAAAAAGGGAAGTAATCTATTTGAATGACTATAAAGCAAAGTAGTCATATTTCTAACTATGTCCATTACGTATTTCATCAATGTAAATGTTACAGAATCTTCTGTAACTGGATCTTAATAGATGTGTAAAATAAATCTAGTGAAATCTTTCAAAACAGCACCCACAAGCAAGACTTGATACCACCCAGCACAAAACTCTGATCCCACTGAAGACATAGAAGTTTAGAGATCATCAAAACATCATCTTCTTGATCCAAAGCACAATGCTTGTTTATTATTAAATTACATTACAGTAATTTGTTGAAGATAATAGTAATACTGGATTAATCACTGGAAATATTATGACTTTGTTGTAAGAAAAGTGTATTCTTTGTTGTAAGAAAAGTGTATCAAAAATGTGAACACAACTATAAAAGCCTAAAAATGAACTATATTTAACCATATGTACTAAAAAGTATTAAATTAATATTCGAACTCAAGTGTGCAAAACTAAAACAAACACCAATTCTAGTTTAATATATGTCTTTCAAGGTACAAAAAAGACAGCCAAGATACTATGGAGCTTTATAAATGTAACATTAATAGAGTAAGGGTCAGAGTTCACACTAACTAGGAGCAACTTTCACTAAATAATCCAAAAGATACCTGCATGAATAACTTTTCGTCCACATTGACTATATTAAAAAAGAAGACCAATGCTCATTTCAATTTGCAGCACCTCAACACCGGAAGCCACACATAAAGAAATGGCTGCAGCCACTTTGTATACGCTCTCAGTAGTGATTTCACAAACGCTTGTGTGAATCTGCCAGTTTTTTTAAAAAAGCATTTTATATTACAGTTATCTGGTAGCCTGAACTGCAATGCTCAGCAAGTAAAATGCTAACTAAAAAGAAGCATTAACTAAAAACTAATTCTAAAATCAATAGATTGAAAAGACATTTTTCTTTAGTTGTTAGAACCCATTTTAATAGTGTTACCAATTGTTAGCATTCTCCATTAATAAGAACAACATCTTAAGATGGCAACATTGTGACTCAAACAGAAAGTTTAATTGGTCTATTGCTGGCAGAGCGTTTATAGATTACTGAGTATCTCACTCACTCTGAAAGCCCAATTAGCTTTGCACAGAACTACCGTAACTAAACTTTATTATTACCTCCACCATGAAGGACAGGACAATAAAAGCAGTTATCAGTGTGCTCACAGTATTTTATACTGCATTATTTATATCTGGTAGGAGTTGATAAAAATATCAGTTAAATTCATGTACATGTTCCCAAGGGCTCAGTTTGTTCCCCAGCATCATGCTGACAATCTGGATGATATCACAGGAAGACCAAAACACCCTCTTCCTCTGAAACAAATACCCCCCAGAGGAGCTGTGTTTCTCTCATGCATGTCATCTCACTATATAAAAAAGAATGCAAGTGGAGCTGGAAAGCCTGCTGTTATCTTTGACCTTTCACAGTAAGTAACATCATGATTCTTCCAACCGCAGCCTATCTTCCTAAATGGGAATTCTTCTGCAATAGAAGAGTCTGTCATACAAACAGTTGAGCTCCAAAGAGAAGAGCGCTCCCAAATCCCTAGTAGGCCAATTTTGATCCTTTGTGGACTAGAGAGGCACAAATTTTTAAAGATTGTTCTGTCCTCAATTTATTATATACAGTATTTAAAGTATTTTTTACCCCATCTTACTCCTTAAAAGGACCCAAGGTGGCTCAAAACAATCTTTAAACATTCCATAGCATCTCCTGAATTAACTGTCACTAATTAATTTTGCAAACCCCCCATCCCCGGTGCAAGCTGCTCTTAGTCCCTTTCCACCCAACCCTGCCTCAATTACAATGCCAAGTTACTTGCACTCAGTATCTGGAACCAATCCGCCCCAAAGAGCAGGCAAAGAAAATGGAGGGTACTTCTCTTGGAAGAAGAGAACAGGAAGTGCGGGGGGGGGGGACAGCCAAGATTTCTGAGGTTAGCAGTCAACTCCTGTGCTCTAGTATTCTACTCCAGAGGTTGAGCAAGGATACCAATTCCTGGTGCTGGCGGCCCTGCTTGCACTTAATGGATAGGATATAGGGCTACTAGAACATTCATGGTTTGCATTATTTTAGACCTTTGTTGTCTACACATGATGATTAAATCGTGATTTAAAATTTTCCCTCTTTGAACCTCAGTATTACAATACTGCACATTCCAAACTAATTCACTGACTTTGTTTTAACTCAGTTTAAATGAGTGGATGAGATGTGTGCATTTCACCCATCAATGGGATTTCATTAAATTCACATTTCACAGTACTAAAATGGCAAGTATGTATTTTTAATCTATTAATTTTTATCAAAGGTAATCTTTAATATTGATGCACTGTCTGCAGGCATTCCAAAAGCAGAAACAGGAAAGAAAAAAAGGATGCTACATTCAGCAGAAATTTGGTCTGTCAAACAAGACTCTTACACTTTTGTTTGTTTTATTTCTCGTGATAATATAGTTTCTTTGTTTTTCCTGAATATTGATAGCTTGTGTTGTCTTTGTAATCTCTATCCCTATCATACCATTGTTGTTTCTATTACAAAGGATAGTAACATGATGAAAGCTGCTCAATGGAAACATCTTGGCACATTTCTAACAAGCCCATCAAAGTAACTATTAAAACAGCCCTCCAACATCTGTATGTAATTAAATTACAATAATCTTTTGCACTGAATACAAAGATCTCTATACTCTTCCTTTCTTACCTGTACAGCACTGTTAAGAAAACAACTGTTTTGTCCTGGTTCATTTAACAAGCCTTTGGTTGGAGCCAGAGACATCACACTTCCAGGTTGATATACCTTCCCAAGATTTCCTCCTGGTTTTCTCAGGAACTTTACCCATGCCATTATTTAGGAAACAAGTATGTGTTTATAAATCAAGATTTCAGAATTCTGAGCAAGGTGGGGAAAATATGTTCTGACAATTGCTTTTAACAAGTCACAGTACTATATTCAGACTTCCAATACTTCAGATTGAATTAAGCCAATATCACGTCTGCTGTTTCATTTGAGAATAGTTTTTTTAAAAAAAATAAAACATTTGGAGACAAAAATACAATATGAAAACTTGAAAATTTATGTGAATAAAATAAATTACAATGTACTAAAAGAGACACAACATTCTTATTGACAAATGTTGTATCATTTTCCTTCTGCTTTTATGTTAATATTAGTGCAAATCACTCTTTGAAAGAGGACTTTTTTTGGAAACAGCCATTACAAAACAGGAGTTCTTAGTGTTATTCTCAGTCTCTATGTCAATTCCTCTTCTTCAGCTTAAAAAATAAATTAATCTTTGCTTTGCAGATGTAAATCCATCATGTGCACTTTGTATGTTTCTTTTTTTGAAGTCTGTAAGGAGAGAAAAAGAAAAGTTTTCAAAGTTATTTTAACATCAACTATAGAATCAAATGAACAAAGATGAATAATAATAATCTAAGAACACAATAATAATAATCTAAAAGGATTTTGCCACTGTAATTATTTAGATTAGCTCCTAGATAGTTATTGGCAACATAGCGTGAGGAAGAAGCAAGCTAAAAATGTATTAAGGTCTAAATCTGTGAGCGTGAATCCCAAAAAAAGTAGACCCACTGAATCAACAGAACTTTCATAAGTGTTGACTTTCCATGTTCCCACCAATTCAATGGGTCTATTCCAATTGGGACTATCATTGGATTTAGCACTAACAATTTCCAAAATGTTAGCATTTAGAACATGTAATCCAGGATTAGATATGAGAACACTGTTATATGCAATTTTGTTTCCTCTTTTGACTCTATATATATAATCCAAGATTTGCTCAAGAAAATGATGTACACTGCATGTACCAAATAACAATTTAAAAACCATTCTAGTATCTTCTGTTTAATCAATGTCAAACACAATTACAGTGGTGCCTCGCTTAACGATTGCCTCACTTAACGAAGAATTCGCTTACCAATGGGTTTCTTTTAGGAATTTTCTGCATCGTTTAACGATGTTCTCTATGGGGGATTTTCACTTAACGATGTCCGTTTTTGCTCATGTAACAGTGCCTTAAAATGTTTGAAACCTGTCCGTCCAATGCTTTTCAATGAGAGAGAAAAAAATTCACCAAAAATTAACGAAGACTCAGAACAACACCAAATTAAGTTTGCATACATTACACAAGGTGGACTAACGATTGCAAGCATTTAAAACAGGTTTCAAACAGTTTAAGACACTTTTACATGAGCGAAAACGGACATTGCAAAGCCATTCAAATGCACTGAGTCGGCTTCAGTGCATTTCAATTGGGGAACCGCGTCTCGCTCAACGATGTTTCCTATGGCGATTTTCGCTTAAGGACGGCAATCCGTTCCAATTGGAACAGATTAACCGGTTTTCAATGCATTCCCATGGGAAATGGTGTTTCGCTTAACGATGTTTTCACATAACGATTTTTAATGGAACCAATTAACATCGTTAAGCGAGGCACCACTGTATAGAGCAAAACTGCCTAGTCATGCTTGCATTTGTTACATTCATGCATATTTTACAGTATAAAATTTACAGTAACTGTACTGAGTGCTACAATTCACTACAGTGAACTGTTCTCACAGGGAGATTTTAACCACCATAGTTCAAGACTATTTCTAGTGAGATGCTCTCCTTTAAGATATCATGAAATTTCCAAAAAAAATCTATAGAAAACAGTTTTCATCTCAGTACCGAAATATGTTTTATTTTATAATTATTAAATACAAACTACATTAACCAAAGTGTTTATTCATATTATAAATGATACACCACCTTTACAATGTGAGTAACAACCAAATGGCTGCAATCCTGTTGTACAGTTATGCAAACAGTGTAACTTCTAGGTATACATAGACATGCATTAAGAAATCTCCATAGATTTTATTTGTTACATGCATGCGCATGCGACTCAGCATTCAACTGATAATATGTTAATGTACGGAAATCCATATTTAAAAGTTAGATGATTTGTGTAACTGCACAACAGGATTTCATCCTTTGTGCTGAGGTAAATAGCACACAGGTCACTCGAAGCAGTTTTAATCCACAGGTTAATACTCCCACATGAATAGGCCATGAAACATTAGGCAAAATCCTGCTGTGTTAAATTACACTGATGTAAATCAGGTCCCACACCAGAAATAATTACTGTACTTAAAACTAATTTAAATGTTTCTATCCCTCCCTCTCCCCACTTTCCTTTCTGTCTCCATTTTGCTGTGGAGAAGCCTCTAGGAGCCTTAACAAGTAAAAATAACCATCGGATCACTGCCATTAGTGGTCTGGTGGCAGTTTTTGACTATTAAAGGCATTCCCCTCCCCCGAGGTTCTCAATGGCTTTCCCAGTGCAAAAGGGGCCATTGGGCCCTTTCAGTTAAAGGTGAAACATGTTTTTGTCTTTTTTGTTTTGTTTTTCTGGATTTTCCCTAATATGCTTGCACATACTAGCACGGACAACAGATCTGTTTTGTGTCAGTGTAACTTTAGGCAAAAAACAGTCTGAAGCTCAACATCAAAAAAACTAAGATCATGGCCACTGGTCCCATCACCTCCTGGCAAATAGAAGGGGAAGATATGGAGGCAGTGACCGATTTCACTTTCTTCGCCTCCATGATCACTGCAGATGGTGACAGCAGCCCCAAAATTAAAAGACACCTGCTTCTTGGGAGGAAAGTAATGACAAACCTCGATAGCATCTTAAAAAGCAGAGACATCACCTTGGCGACAAATGTCTGCATAGTCAAAGCTATGGTTTTCCCTGTAGTGATGTACGGAAGTGAGAGCTGGACCATAAAGAAAGCTGACCGCCAACAAATTGATGCTTTTGAATTGTGGTATTGGAGGAGGCTCTTGAGAGTCCCCTGGACTGCAAGGAGAACAAACCTATCCATTCTAAAGGAAACCAAGCCTGAGTGCTCACTGGAAGGACAGATCCTGAAGCTGAGGCTCCAATACTTTGGAGAAGAGAAGACTCCCTGGGAAAGACCCTGAGGTTGGGAAGTGTGAAGGCAGGAGGAGAAGGGGATGACAGAGGACGAGACAGTTGGACAGTGTCATCGAAGCGACCAACATGAATTTAACCCAACTCCGGGAGGCAGTGGAAGACAGGAGGCCTGGCGTGCTCTGGTCCATGGGTCATGAAGAGTCAGGCACGACTAAAAGACTAAACAACAACAACTTTAGGCAAGAAGATTTTGTCCATTGTGATCTAGTCACTGTCAGTGTGTTGTAGTTTTGTCTTTACAGTTCGGGATTTACTGTGAATTTTATTATCTGTTTATCGGCTACCAGGAATGGCAAAACAAGAAAGTTGCAGAACACCTGCTTCCCATGTACTCTTTCCTATATACAGGTGGATATATTTCTGTCTCTTTATCAGTACCTAAGAAGAAATGCTGCCTGCAGTTTGAATACTGCCGGTATGTATTATTTTTAAATATCTCCTGAAGCTACCATATAATTTATATTTTTCTTCAAAAAAATTCTTCATTGTTTTATTAGGAATCTAATTGCTCTATGCATTTTGTGTAATTCTCTCCTCAAAGACTTAACAGAGTTGAATAAAGCAAGCTCTAAAAGGTAAAGGTTCCCCTTGACAATTTTTGTCCAGTCGTGTCCGACTTTAGGGGGCGGCGCTCATCCCGCTCTTCAAGCCATAGAGCCAGCGTTTTGTCCGAAGACAATCTTTCCGTGGTCACATGGCCAGTGTGATTTAGACACGGAACGCTGTTTACCTTCCCACCGAGATGGTACCTATTTATCTACTCGCATTTGCATGCTTTCGAACCGCTAGGTTGGCGGGAAAAGCAAGCTCTACTAGGAACTATTCTACTTGTCGATCTGAATCCTGACTGTTCCCCAGCTCCATGATGTACAAGAACAAGTGAATGTTTATCTGATATGGGGGTGCTCACCACTTTGGTCCATGTGCTCATAGTCTCAAGATTAGACTACTGTAATGCGCTCTATATAGGGCTGCCTTTGTGATTGACGCGGAAACTTCAGATGGTACAAAATGCCATGGCCAGACTTCTAACTGGGGTGAAGAGGCACCCACATATTTCCCTCACGCTGGCCGCCTTGCATTGGTTGCCCATTCGTTTCTGCGTTGATTTCAAAGTTTTTATGATTACTTAAAAAGCCCTAAACAATTTAGGACCTCGATATCTGGCAGAGCGCCTTCTCCCACCCACTGCAAGAGACATTCGTTCTAGCTAGGTCGGGTAACTGAGGGGCCTAATGCTGAGAGAGGCTCGGAAGGAAAGAACGAGGAACCTGGCCTTTTCAGCAGTGGCCCCTTGCCTCTGGAAAAACATGCCTGTAGAGATCCACCTGGCTCCCTTTCTGGGTGTCTTTAGAAATAAACTTAAGACATGGTTATTCAGGCAGGCTTTCCCTCCTGCTGCATCTTAACATTTACATTTTTACATCTTGGATTTTTACGTATTTATTGGTTCTATTGTTTTTATATTTTGTAATGCCGCCCAGACTAGACCCAATCTGGTGTATAAATCTAATAAAAATTTTAAAATTCTTAAATTAAAAACAAAAAAAAAATCACTAATGTTTTGTTGATGAATCCATACAAGTTTTATTTTCTATTTGTCATTAACCACTGGTACCCTTGTCTTTGTTCTTTCCACAAGTTTGGTGTTTATATTGTCATCTTTTTCTAAAGGGAAAAATTAATTTGGGAAGGTCAGGCAATTGAAACACATTTGGCATTTAGAAATAAATTATATGTAATAGCCAAATAGTGGTGGCTTTCCTCTTTCTTCTATTACTGCATATATTTCTGAGGGGCTGACATACTCTTTGCTGCTTAACAGCTGCAAGAAAAGTGTCAAAAGTAGTGTGTCAATCTATGCACAACATTCATAAATGTGACTAAAGCTTCTGAAATGGTGAACACAGGACTATGGAAAAATCATGAAGAAACCTCATGTCACTCATATTGTTCATGAATTCTTTGACTGTATGCAAGCTCATGCTATTGACAATGGTATCTTCTCTGATCCATTCTGAATGAAATCAACCCTGAGTGCTCACTGGAAGGACAGATCCTGAAGCTGAGGCTCCAGTACTTTGGCCATCTCATGAGAAGAGAAGACTCCCTGGAAAAGACCCTGATGTTGGGAAAGTGTGAAGGCAACAGGAGAAGCGGATGACAGAGGACAAGATGGATGGACAGTGCCATCGAAGCTACCAACATACATTTCACCAAACTCTGGCAGTGGAAGACAGGAGGGCCTGGCGTGCTCTGGTCCATGGGGTCACAAAGAGTCAGACATGACTCGACTAAACAACAAAAAATACCTGCAAAATAATGTATCTTATCTACAGGCACTGAT